ACAAATGACTGATGCTCTGTTCTTCTTACTAAAACATGTTTATGGATCAGTATGAATCAAACAATAGGAGTCAGTGATGTACTCACAGAATAGGCCCAGCTCACAGAGCAAAGTGGCTCCCATCCTCACATCCAGCAGTGACACGTCTGAAAACTTCTACAACTTTCTGTAAAGAGAGAGAGTGAAGCAGCAGCACAGCAGATACCAAAGAGCTGTGAAGGAAACAAAGAGTTTTCTGCTTCTTTCCTTTTACACAGAAATAACAACTTCTGACCTCAGCAAGGTGGGGTTTCTTGGAAAATCTACCAAATAGTTACATAAAAACTGGAAGAACACACGTTTGTAGTAGAATCCTAGGATTCAAATGAACAAAAAAAGGGAAATAAAGATCCCTATAAAGATTGTTTGTTTCCATCATGATTGCTGCCACATATAAAACACCAGGACAGGAACACATAATGTACCACACACAACCATAAATGCTTATGGTTGTTGTACAACCTACAAAAACTTATGTAGGTTACATCATAGGCTTTACGAAGATTCACCAGAGAAATCTAAATCAGCCATTATTCACAGTGTCTACCATAAGGCAAAGTAAATGCACACATACCATATAAAGACTGAATGCACTGTATGCTGACATGTGAAATTCACTTTGTCATAAACCATTACTAGCATCACACAAGTGTCTCATCTTTGCCTGCTAGCTTTGTTTGGTAGAAGCTTTATCACCAAAAAATAATTACCCTCACAAGCGTTTGCTGTTGGGTCATTGAGGTAACTCTACATTTGAAGTCTAAAAAAATACATATATTAGATGGGTTCAAACTGACATAGAGGTATAACTGCAGAGATAAAAAATATTAGCAAGCAAGACAACATACTTTTATTTCCCTCCTGTCATCGATGTGATCAACTAGTAGGCCACCTCTGCTACCTCACAGTCATAAACTGCTGGTGCACTCTAATCACCAGCACACAAAATCATTACCAAACACAGAAGCTGTTCGTAATCCTGCACTTTTTAATGCAAGAGTTAAAACTATAACTAAAAATACTTCCCTTTTAATTTTAAGCTGAGCTTCATTGATGTAAAGTCTCCCACAAACATGAACTCTTTTATAGTTCAGTTGTAGTTTTTCATAAATTCATCCACAGGAAATGAGTCAGCTGAAGCAAAACAGAAATTGAGTCCTTAACCAGAAGTGAACACGAGGTGAATTCCTGCCCACTCTCTCAGCTTATCTCTGTGCCCATAAAAGTAGCTGTAACTGTTGTAATCCTAAAGATTTTTTGATTTGTTTTGTTTTGTTTTTTAGCACTTAGTAACCACTGGGCCACCAGTTCAAAAGGTTCAAAGGGAAATGCTGCTGAAATAAAAAAAAAAAAATGAACAGGAAGCTGTTCAAACTACAGGACACAATTATTTAGTTATAAAGCACACTGAAGCACAGTGAGCTACAAATACAGAACACTTTTATTGAAATCCAAAACCCATTTGATTAAAATTCCATGTGTCTCTTCTATAAACTGTTTGCACTGAGAACAATTGGAATAAATTCAGATTTTACAGCCGTTTTGCTGACCACATACAAGATTCTGTCAGTCTGATATTTGCAGAGCAGAGCTGCAAACACAGCTGCTGTACAAATACTATATTTGTTCTTCTTGTGATTTTCTGACTCAGATCTCTTTATACATATTTAACTGCTGCTCAACAAAGTGACAGAGATGTAAATGTGTCAAGCTAGACTTATTAGTTAGTTTGTCCCCACATCACTGTGTACACACATTTTAAATGTTTTATTGTACACTTCATGGGATGGACAGATGAAAAGGAAGAAGAAAAAGTATAAGAAAGGATAGAGACACATTAGAGAACCCAGCTTTGCTGTGTGGCCCCCAGTTAATCTTGTTAATTTCTTAGGAAAGGAATAAGTACTAAGATTCCAAATGATTTACTGCCATTCCTGAACAGGAAAAATATGTTTTTAGTTGTTAGATGTTATGCCTGATTAATTTCTGACCTTTCAAAGATGGTTAGCATGCCCAAGTGTCCACAAAATATAATGAACAGAAACGGTGACATAGGGCAGCCCTGGCGGGGTCCAACACTAACTGGAAACAAGTCTGACTTATTGCTGCTTATGCAGGCAAAGCTTTTGCAATGGGTGTATAAGGATCGAATGGTTCATAGCAACGGGCCAGGCACCCAATACTCCCAAAGCACCTCCCACATAACACACTGAGGAACACGGTCGAATGCCTTCAAGTCCACAAAATACATGTAGACTGGTTGGCTAGGCTTGATAGGGTAGAGAGCTGGTCCGCTGTTCCACGACCGGGATGAAAAGTGCATTGATGTGTTAGTGGGACTAAGGAAGTCCTCGAAGTATTACATCCACCACCCAACAATATCCTCAGTTAAAGTCATCAGCGCTCCACCTGCACTGTGTGCCTCCCACACCCGAGTTTTGCTTCAGCCAAGCTGTGTTCCACTTGGTCTGTCCATATCTATCATCTGCCTCTGATGTTCCACAGGCTTGAGGGTATAGAGTATGTATGGGGAGTGTGTGTGTACTGTGTTCATTTCTGTGTGTCTCCATGTGTGTGCGCGAGTATTTGCATATGCGTGCATGAGGGTGGGAATGCACGTTTGTGACTGTGTGTGGCTGTTTGTCTGTGTGTCAGCTCAGATCTTAGACCACCTCTCTCAGAACATCACCCGCTGATGCATTGGTCGTTCTCAGTGTCCAGGGCTGGGTGCTTTTAGTTTCTTTTTATTTTGTTTTCCTGTGGACGCTTTCAGATGGTTTTAATTACTTGTGTCACAAACTAAATTATATCTTAATGTTAGTTGTTTTGGGGACTTAATGACCTTAATCAGATCTGTGTCTTTTTACACAGCTGATATAAAGCTGTGCATAATCTGTGTCAAAATTTACCACATCACCATCTTGTGCTTTTACATTGAGTTTCAATAATTCCTGGCAATGCTTCTCTTGGCTTAACTGCCACAGCAAAATCTAAAACATACAGCTCTGCTATCACTTTTAACATAAATGAAGACAGAAAACTAAACAGCAGTGGTGTTTGTAGGGTTACAGAAGTTGGGCTATGTAGTGGCTAGCGACACAGCTATGTTAGCATAATATAAACAGTGAAACTGGAGGGTGAACGCTAACATTTTTCCATTCGATGAAAGTTAACGTGATGGTTCCCGAAGGTTAGGGACAAATGCAATCGCATGGCAGGATGCTATAAACGGACAAAACTTCAGCCAGGAGAACAACTGAGATAATCCATCCACATTACAAGGTTACTCATTCATATACTGCTGCATGGGCTGGGCTGTAGTTACATCGTAAGGTTTTAAAAACTCAGCTTTAAAATGAATAGCTGTAATGAAAACCGAGAGAGGTCGACAATGATCAATGATCAAATAGAACAAGATACAAAACATTAAAACATGTTAAAAACACAAAGCCTTAATAAATGCAGATTAGTTTTGACCTGGAAGCAGGGTTCATACGTCATCACTTAAAGACCGGATATCCCACCTGCTGTGAATGTTTTAATGCAGTACAGTTCTTCTTCTTCTTATTATTACTTTTCACATCCTGTTTATGACAGTTAAAATAAACATATTCATATAACAAATACATTTGTCTCATGTAAACTGTATATGGTGTTAAATAGGCCTATACTACTGTGCTTTAATGTTGGTCATAAGGGTGGTACTTCAAGAGCCATATATTTTATGAGGGTGTACTCAGTGTGAAAAGTTTGAGAACCACTGGTCTAATATAAAATATTTGCCAAATCAAACACATGCATCATAAATAATGTGATTTCCATGTTACATAGGTTGGGGCCTCCTCTGGTGCTGCAAGACAACAAGGTGCCAGTAGAAACTGTGCTACTGTTTTCCATAGACAAAGGAAGGGGAGAGAGAGGTGGTGTGTTGAGGACAGCAAGAGAGGAAAGACAAGAGTTTGGAGAAGCAAGTAGGAACTTTAAATGGAACTCTGACTTTTAAAGGAAGACAGCAAGGAGATATGATGGAGGAAGGTAGATATGTTGTACCCCAGGAGGACCACCTGTGTGAGTCAACACACAGCCGAGCACCTGGCTTGAGACAATACTTCACATCTTGTGTCGTAATCTAATGAGTCAAATCAAACACAAAGTATAAATATAAGCTCAAGTACTTAAGTCACCAACACTGAAACAAAACATGGCTGGAAATACAGAATTTTTTAAAATGTTACTGTGATAGAGCGACTAGTGCAAGAAATGGAGCTTCCTACAACAACATTTAAGTAATTTCATATTTTTTTTATTTTAGTAGAAACGCGATTACAATAATGAGAAAATGGGATACAGTTCAATGTGAAAAACTACTTAATACACTTTATACTTATATACAATATTTTCATCATAAAAACACTTCTACAAAATTCAAACTTCCTCATGTTTATATGTTTCGTATATATTTACACACAGAATTACTCATCATGATACTCATGAGCATGTTTATACTGGTGATCATGTGACATGGTCACCAGTACAATTATGATTCTAAGGAGCTTAGTATTGTTAGAGTTGGAAGTGTCTTGGTAATTTCCCTTTAGTTTGATATCAAACTCTGAATTATACTGTAAACATTTATACAATTACAATAATAATTATTACAATAACAATTAATCTATTAATTGATCATTTACAAATAAATAGTCGTGCAGTCTTGCAAACCTTCCCTATCAATCTCGCTGCTGTCCATATGTCACAAATCACCCCTGCCCACTCTTTACCCACCCTTGCTGCACTCTCTTTGGGGCTCTCAGTTGAACTTATCCACCTTCACTTCCTCTACTCCTTGCAGCTTCACTGTTAAACTGTCTCTTATCCATACACATGTGTTCTGTCTTGCTTCTACTGAATTTCATTCCTCTTCTCGCCGGTGCATGCGTCCTCCTCTCCAGCCTCTCTTCCACCTACTCCCTACTCTCACTACACATCACAATGTTTTCTGCAAACACCATAATCCACAGAGACTCCTGCATGACCTCATCTGTCATCTTGTCCATCACTACTGCAAACAAGAAGGGGCTCAGAGCTGATTCCTGATGTAATCTCACCCCCAGCTTGAACTGCTAAGTTACAACCACACACCTCACTGCTGTCTCACTGTCCTCATACATGTCCTGCACCACCTTCACATACTCTTCTGCTACTCCTGACATCCTCACGCAGTACCCCACACGCTTGGCACCATATCCTTTCTCTAGATCCACAAAGACACA